GATGTTTGTGGATAGCTAGCTAGGCAGGTAGATAATAGCTAGCGAGAGAGAGAGAGAGATAGATAGATAGATAGATAGATAGATAGATAGATAGATAGATAGATAGATAGATAGATAGACAGATAGATAGATAGATAGATAGATAGATAGATAGATAGATAGATATTGCCAATGGGAACGTAATAACTAAACGAGCAAACAAACAATGAAATATTCAACGACAAAAACATTACAATTTTTAAAAAAATCACCCCCCAAAAACCCCTTAAAAAAAAACAAAACAAAACAAAGCAAACAAACAAAACAAAACAACAAGCACACAAACAAAAACCCCTCTCACCTGCACCCTGGCCTCGCTCAGACTGACCCTCCTGGCCAGCTCCTCCCTCACAAAGGCGTCCGGGTAGTGGGTCCGCTCAAACACACGCTCTAGCGCCGCCAGCTGGGTGCTGTTGAAGGTCGTCCTGTTCCGTCTCTGCTTCCGCTTCCGCCGACTCTCGCTGTCACTCTTGCGGTCCTCGTCACTGTCTGTTGGGGGGACACATTTGGTTTGTTTTAGTAGTTTTTTTGTTTTAGTTTTAGTAAGCGTTTTACGGCACTTGCAACACAATAAGGTCATGTAAGTGCCGAAGAATAGATTATGTGTTACAAGAGAGTAACAAATTTAAAAAAGAAGGAGGGGAGATAAGGACGACAGATGTTTGATAGGAAAGAAGGAGCAAACCACACCAGAGCACCCGCCAACCACACACTTTGTTTTAGTATCAGACATGGTATTGGAGACCTACAGGAAAAGGAAAAAGAGGTAGACCAACTAGATAGAAGTTACAGAGGCACAATAATTCGAGATGAGGCAATCACCCAGGGCGTTGATGGGCCGAGATTGAAGAAGGGGGCCAGGGACAGAAATGCATGACGTCGGCTGCTCTCTACCTTATTATGATTCTAACGGTATAGCATTTTACAGCACTTGCAACACAATTAGGTCATAAAAGTGCCGCGAATATTAGAGGAGTTAAAACATAGGAATAACTCCCCCCC